GGCGGGGAAGGACGTTGTGGAGAGAGTGGTAGCACAGGCGGATGCTGAGGCTGTGCAGGGTGGGCGAGAGGCAGCGGATGTTCATGTGGAGGGCTTGCAACAGGCGGTGGATAAGGCTGTGCAGGCAGGACGGCGGCGGGACGAGGGTGTGGGTGACGCACGATGTGTGGTCCAGGAGACAGCGACGGGTCCAGTCGTTCCGTTCTCGGGCCTGCACTTGGCTCAGGGCCGACAGTCGCAGCCGGTGCCGGTGGCAGTGCATGGTGTGCCGCCGCCCGTTATCACGGATTTGGGGTCCGAGCCGGTGGTTGCGCCACCGCGTTTTCCTAGTCACTTTGCTCCGCAGGAGGTCCGTCGTCCTTTGGATGCAGACGAGTTGCCGAGAGAGGCTGTCCGCGATGTGACTCGCTTGGACCGACAGATCTTTGACCAGAGGCTACAACATCCTGCATGGCAGGCGATCCCTCCAGTTCCATGGGGTCCTGCATCGCCGGTGTGATCTGGGTCTACCTCCACCGGAGCACGTACGACGGGAGATGTTTCAGGGGTTTCAGGTGGTGTCGTGGAGACGGCGCCACGTACACGAGACATGCCACCCCCTCCTCCTAGACCACCTGTAGGTCATCGTCGCCCACAAGCAGAGGCTCTCGATCTCCACACACGCCTGGGAGGTCTAGGATTCGGGACACTACAACCGATGTGGGGGACGTGAGTGACACAACGTTGTTCGGGAGGACAAACATAGATTTGGATTCCACCCGCCGTGTCACGGAGCACACTGCACGTCTACAGCCGGGTTTAGGACCCCGCGGCGGCAGGATGACCGCAGCGAGGGAGGTGGCAGCATCAGGTTGTGAGCCTCAGCGAGGTCGCGGCAGAGGAGTGTCCGCCGATAGCTTGGAGCACGCTCTGAGAGCAGTGACGCGTGCCGTACTTGAGCAGACTCCACGCAAGCGCGGAGTGCCTCCTCGTCCACGCCCCGTGCCCGCACAGGGAGGAGATGCACTTGGAGAGACTTCGGGGGCAGAGGGGTTGGGGATGCCTCGTGGATCGCGCCGTGAGCAGACGGTTGCAGAGGCTAGTGCGAGGGTTGTTGAGTTGAGGAAGGCAGGAGCCCCTGTCACCATCGAGTAGGATGATTCTGAGACAGATGTGGCAGTGCGGGAGGAGGACGAGGACTATGAGGGCGAGGAGGAGGGAGAGGAGGAGAGCGAGAAAGGTTCCGATGGTGACTACGACGACGCCCAGCACGAGCCCCCACCTCCCCCACCGACGAGTGCAGCCAGACGGCGCGCTGCGTAAACTTCTTCATCAGCACGATGGTGACTACGACGAGCCCAGCACGAGCCCCCACCTCCCCCACGCGAGGGGGTCCGGGGAGACAGAGCGGGAAGGGGAAGAAGCGTCGTTGACTGATGAGGCCAACACTCCTTTTTCCCCTGCTCGCACTGCGGTTCGTCATGTTGTGCGGTCCTAGTTTTTTTGGTCATCTCGTCTTGTCTTAGTGTTGTTAGGCTCTCAGTGGTTGTGTGCGTGCAGCATGCTACAGATGCATTAGATGATGTTTCCTTTGTTTTCGGTGTGTATGATTTTGGTACCAGTATGGTGTTCGTAGAGTAGCGTTGGACCAGTAGGGTGTTCCCAGAGTACCTACGACACGACTTGTACACTACAGTTTCGTTTGTTTTTTTTTCGACACGTGGTACCACTGCCTTAGCAGTAGCCTGTAGGATACATTGCATATGTTGCATTTTTCATTTCTGTTTTCAGTGACAGGTACTTTGCGTCGTTGAGGACTTTTCATGCACAATACATTTTCATGTACAGTTTCAGTTTCGATTGATGCTCGTCGTGGTCGGCGTGTGCGAGCTTTCGTGACCATTTTCATCTGGTGTGATTTTATATATTTCATTGTTGTTATCATTTGCAATCTCATTTCCTGCGTTTGTTTCTTGTACAATTCTACTTTAGTTTTTTGCCTGAAGAGTTGCTTGTGTGGTTGTT